CAAATGCAAACATAAAAGACAAGGAAATAAAAGACAAGGTTTACAAAATCATTGCAAAGGGATTGTTCTCTCTGAGATTTTATGTAGAGTTCACTCTATGTTATACTGACTGTTTCCTACTGTATGGAAGCTGCAGCTTCCAAAGTGAGTACCATTAACATCAGGCTGGACAACCTTCCTTACTCTATTGCTCTTTCACTCTCAACTATCATTGAAGCAGTTTTCATGAAGTGGCTTATAGGACCAGTTCCATTTTGGAATTATACAAAAAGTAACTGCTGAGATACTCCTATCAGGAGTTAGGAGTATAAATTCAAATTCCTGCCTTGATTGGACAGGGCATAGGTTTGAGCTATGATCTGATTTTGCTTGTGTGACTACTTACTAGAGGATTGTGAGGCAGGTTCTCACCCCTTGTATTGAAAATGGATCACTTCGCATGCAGCACTGAAGTGGCCACCATCAAACTGAACATCTTTAAAGCCAGCTGATTAGCACAAGCACCTGGCAGAGAGGGCATCAGACCCTCAGACAGCTCCTCTGAAGCAAAAATATGTAAAGAGGAGCAAATGAGAACACGTTGCAGCAGACCTCACTGCTGCTAATTGTTCATGTCCTGTCCTAAGAGACAGGACAACAGGATCTAAATCTCCACAGCAGAAGGCAGAATTAAACCACAGCATCCATCATTGCAGATGAACAGCTTAACCACCAAGAGAAGAGGTAGAAGCCTACCTCCTTACCATCTCTGCCAGTATTCTCAGATTAAATTTTCTGGTAGATAAGAATAAAATTGTCTCAAATAATTCACTCAATGCCAGAAGTGACCTTTTTGACACTAAACTTTTCTCTTATTTTCCTAGAAGTTATACTTATACTTCTGAGAACGAATAGTCCCTCAAACAGGAATATCCTCCCTCTAGCATAACAAAAAGTCTGGTAAATGTAATATCAAACTCTTCTAGATAAGACTTGTTATCTATTCTGAATCGAGTTGATCACACATATACTCATGGTAGTATACATATTTGGAAATGTATACCTGAAGCATCAAGGCACTGCATCTCAGATCAAGTGCCTGGTTTACAGAAAAATTCCAGAGAAAATCCAGCCTTCTCACCATTCCTACTCATTTCTACAATCTATGCTCTTCTCTGCATCTTGGCACTATTTCCACAAAGGCTTTGGCTGGACAAGCAGCAAAACGTAGTATCAAATACCTGAACTAGTGAAGGCTTGTGAAGAAATGGCCCTTCGGTCTGGTAAGTTTTGTATGTCTATAAACATGCCATAATCATGGAATCATAGGACGTGGAGGGGTTGGAATGGGCCCTAGATATCACCTAGTCCCAGTCTGCCCTGCCATGTGCAGGGACATCTCCCACTAGATCAAGTTGCTCAGAGCTTCCCTGTAGCCCCTCTCAGATCCTGCAAGGTTGCTGAGTTCCTCACACAACCGTCTCTTCTCCATGCTGAACAGCCCCAACTTTCTCCATCTTTGTAGGGGAAATGCTCCAGCCCCATTATCAACTTTGAGGTCCCCTCTGGACTTGCTCCAACAGTTCCATGTCCTCGTATTGGGGACACCAGAGCTGTATGCAGTGCTCCAGGTGGGGTCTCACAAGAGCAGAGGGAAGAATCACTTCCTTCAGACTGCTGGTCACACTCCTTTTGATTCAGCCCAGGATTCTGGGCAGTGATAACAGTAGAAAAATATATTTTAAATACATTTATTAGAAACAATGATTTCTAATATGACAGGGAATCAACATCAAACATTTTCACATAATACTAGTCACTCACACTTTCTGAATAATGGGATGAATCAAAGCAGACCCTGTCCCAGAAGACAGATCCTAAGAAAAGATGCTGTAACTATATACCTGAGCTTGCTGAAATTTAATTCCAAGTATGCTTTTTCCAGGAAGAGACAGTTAAAACCTGTTAAAGGTCAACACCAACCACCATATATTTTGGCAACATTTTATTTGAATGTATCAAATATCTAGGAGGTGATGCCATTCTTTCAGCATCAGAGGTTGAAAATACCATTAATAGAAATGTTATGAAGTAGAAAGTTTGCTTCACGAAATGCCTTTTAAGAAATGTTGAGCTGAATTAAACCAAGAAATTGCATTCTTACTCAAGTAGTGGAGATGAGAAGGAAATATATTTAAAAGGAAAAAAAAATAAAAAGTGAAAGTAGTGTTATTTTTTGTTTGACGTTATTAACACACGGAAACATTGCTTTTGAAATTGCATGGAATTAAAATTATTTTGTAAATGTTACTGAATACACTTTAATTTCCTTTGTTCTCTTTTTCATGGAGGCTTAACTTCTAATCTCCAGCAGTTATCATTATAGCTGAATCCTGCATTTATTGCTCAGGGGCAAAAAGCTATTTGCAGAAGGTTATTAGGTTTATTACTAAACAGTAGCTATGTGGAAAAAACACCATGTCTTTGAAAGAAGACCTGGCATTCACATAACATTTATGACTGAGTAAATTCCACAGTACTTCTCTAAGCAATTATTTTTGCTTTCTGCCATGTTTTTATGACTTTCTGTGTGCTTTTCACTCCACTTTAGGCATTCAAAGTGTACCAGTTAGCTTCTTGACTAACGATGAATTTTAGCTTCCAAATATTGCCCATACAGCTGCTATTCTCACCAAAGCTTTACCTCCACAGGAACCCAGCTATGGCTGAGGGCATAGTTGGAGTGCACAGAACCCCAGCCATTGCCCAGGAGACACAAACACCTTCAGTCGTGGAGCTGCATTCAGAACACACTGTGTAAAGACAGACAAGGCGTTCAGAAACCAGAAACAGCGGTTATGCGAGCTGAAATACCACACTGGCACAGCCAGAATAGTCCTTGTTCTGTGCTACCTTGTTCAGCAACATCTGAAGAAACTGCCTCTCACTGAACTGTGGCACACTGACCTCCCCAAAAACCCAAACAGATTACGAGAATGCCTTAAAACACAGCTGGATTGCTCACAGGCAGAGTAATACATTCAGAAAGCATTGCAAGACCTCTAGCTTACACAGCTTTACTGTGGGAGGGCTTTAGTTGGAACTTCTAAATATTAGCTAAGGAAAAGAACTGTTTATATCATTTCAGCACATCTCTTTATTCATTCCATTTGGATTTTTAATAGTTGCTTTGGTCTTGTTCAATTAGGGGATCATCAGTAATTTGCAGTATTCTGGACATTTTCAAACATTTCACATATTTTTGTGTTAGAACTGCAGTGCATCACATGACGTGCAGCTGTGTTAACATATTTAGGGTTTGGATTCTTCCAAACTCCTGCACTCTGGAGTATTATTTTTCTACTTGTTTACATTTGAAAATTACTGGATTTTGTTGGGTTTTCTAACCACAAGGTTAGAATTTATGGAGAAAAATTAAGCAATAAATAGGTACAGTGTCTTACCTTCGTTTTTCATGTCTTGCCTGCCAGCAGAAGGATTAGAGAGATAAAGCTGGTTTTCTTCTGTGAAACTGTAGCTAGTCCAGTCATAAACTCACAAACACTCCTTTCCGTTTCAGCTATACTTTGACCACACAAGTATGGTTAGCAGATTATGGGAGTTACAGAAACACATAGCAAAGAGCTCTCAACAGCCTGAATTACGTACCAGCAGGAAGAGCTTCCAAGGGACCTCTCCATCCCTGCAGTGCTGAAAAACTTCCAGGGAAAATCTTCCTGGATACAGACGATCTCATCTAACTCAGGGAAAACTACTCTCAGCCAGCTGCTTCATTGTGGGAAAGCACCAGTACACAGAAAAATTATTCATAAACACAAAACTTTACCCCAAAACACAGAGCTTTTACCTGCTCAGATTCTGTTAACCAAAATAAGTCCCAGACATGCCTCATCACTTAGTTTCATAGAGAGAACAGACCCCATAGTTCTTTTCAAAGGTGCATGACTGCACCATACATAAACTCAATGTACATTATCTTGTTTGAGATTATTTTTTTCTTTCTTAACTCTGTAGTTTTTGTTGGTTGTTTTTTTGGTTTTTTTTTTTAATTCCAACAGTCTCAGTGGTGGAATCTCAGGCATGCCAGATACTGATCCTGGATGCGAGTAATACAATTTATATCACAGACAAATCTGCAATTGGATATATAAAGAAGAAACTAATTACACTATCTCTGAGGGAAATATCTGAAATTACATAGACAACACTTCCTAAATAGAAAATGTACAATGGAATTTGTTCATAAGAACTGTTGAAAATGATTTAATTAAAACATGATGGGTCAGTCAGTTGACTGCAGATGATTTAATGGTCAATTCTCCAAAATCAGCACTGTGAAGTTTGGAGAAACAATAGCAAATTCCATGTTTAGAGACCCTGGAAGAGTGTCACCTGCAGTCTCACAGCAAAAGTGCCTCAGCAGAGACTCAGTAAAGGAATGGATTCCACCCGTCCTTTAGCTGCTGCTACAGTTGTCTCATAGGCATTAGTTTATACCTGCCACTCTCAGCCTCAGACACACTTCAGCATAAAAAGTCTGCATTCAAATGCCATCCTAAATCCAACTGAAGAGAATAAAAAAATAATATTTTTTTAATGTCCAACCAAAATTTCTTACTACTACTTCAAGCCACCTTCAAGAATAAGGGGAATTATACAAATTATTATTTTTAAAATTTTCCTATCTGAGAATAAGAAGCACACTTCTATTACCAAATTAATGACTCTCATTAGTTAATCTATTACTCAACATAGTTCTAAATTAGAGATCAACACAATTTAGGACATAATTCTGACTTGACCTTGCAGATATTTCAGGCACTTTGTTTCAGCTTGAGATACCATGGTAAGATAATCATTGTATGCTCATTGACTTGCTTTAGGAAAGGAAAAAAATACCAAAGTTTTTTAAAATGCAGTCATTTTCCAAGGAAGAGAAAGACTACAGGAGAATATGAGATGGTCTGCTTAAGTGACTTAATGATATTTCTCTCTTGCCTTTGAGGTCTTGATCTGGCATAAGATCTCCATTTCCAGAGAACACCACTGCTCTGCAACAGCTGATAAAAACTTGGAAATTCTGTTCTGTAGTGAGGAACTTCCCACATTTCCAAACAAGTCTTCATTCTAAACAGAAGTCAAAACATGGCACCTCCAAGTTTCCTGCAAGAAGGAAATGTCAACATTCTGTCTTAGAAAAATAAGTGCATTTCATTGTTTAGCAACAAGCTGCTCCAGGGGAATCCTGAGATTGCCCCAAGACCCAGAATTGCTTGAGGAACACTCATGGGGAGTAGGTTGCACTCAGTCAGGGCAGATTTTTGACATCCTCAGGAATAGAACTGTTTCAGCTACAAACCCATCTGGTTTCACACACAGCCAGCTTTGATGCACTACACATTCCCAACTTTGAGTTTTGCTCATATATATGAAGCAGAATCTGCATTTGGGCTCTATTTTCACCCAATATACAGTCTTCTTGCCCTTTTGTTTCCTCTTTACCACACTGTCTAACTGCACAAAAAACTGGATGTTAGCATCTTTGATCAATAAAATTTTAAAAATAATAATATAATAAAAATAAAAACACTAAAAATAATATAATAAAATAATCTAATTATTTTTTTCTGAGACAATGCAGAGGTTTATCTAGTCTTCCCTTCAGTCTCAGTGACAACTGATGGACAGTCTGGTACATCAACATGAACCTAGACAGAACTGGTTTCTTGCCAAATACAATGTCACCATCAGGGTCAAAGCGTTGCCATCAGACACCATCTGTCTCCTTCTACTCCAGGTCAAACCTCAATTTAAATGTTAAAAAAATAAATAGTAATAATAATTTTTTTAAAAGCCTATCCAATCCAAGCTGTAATGCCTCAAGGCCATTTAACAGAAACTTGTAGTGTCACACACATGCACCCTTCTCATCCTGATCCAAGAAGATGGCAAGCAAGACAGCACCAAGGAAAACCCCTTCATTTCATATTTTCTGATCCTTTACCTAGTACTATATCCTTATTATTACTACAACTACCACTCATCAAGGATCAGTTCTGACAGAATTCCCATTACAATTCAGCTATCCAGTTACACTGATTTTGCTTCTGCTTTACACTTTTGCCTAATTGCCTGATAAAGGTCCAGATACCTCTTCTGATTCTGGACAGACAAGAAAAAAAAACAACTTATCCTTATACCAGAACCATAATGAAAACTGAAAAAGAGACAAGATTTGACACAGGATCTCAAATCACAAGTGGGTGCAAGGAGCCAAAATACACAGGAAGAAAGGAGCAGAGGAAAGTGAGCAGGAACAGCATGATGAACTTTTCAAGTTCATCAGTTTGGCCAAATCATTTGTGGCATTATCCAGAATGACTAGCCTCTCCTCAGAAAGAACAAAGCACTTGTCCCAGTAAAGACTTTTTGAAGACGCATTAAATATTTCTGCTTTCCCTAGTACTACTTTCCTGCATTCCCCATTGAATGGGGAAACAATGTGATTGCAAATGGACAACAGGATCACAGATGGGAAGCAATGATATAAGCAGGTGTGAGCAGAGGGATGTGTCCAACAGGAAGCTTTTCTGTTCAGAAATGGGTCATTCTCTGAAAGTATTTGAAAACCTTGAAGCACACTGAAATGATTTAACCCATCTCAGCAATGTTTAATGGTCTGTACAAAACAGTGTCATATAATATCAGTCCTAACCACGCTGAATGAGGCAAGTTAAAGAGAAAAAAAAAAGCCTGGACAATGCAGATGCCAGAAATATTCCATCTGGATTCCAAGTGCCAAAAGAAGTGACAGGCTGAATGTCCAAACTCATCCTTATCTATCCTCTAGTAAATCTGTATTCCACATTCTTTTCTATACTACTGGAAGTAACCCAGTGCTGACATAGGTGAAAAGGTTTCTAACAAGCGTCTATCTAGAGATAGCAAGAATAGCCATGGCTTGCATAGTCAGTGTACAATTTGCTTTGTTTTCAGGAGTGGAATCAGTTATCTGAAACAAATTTGTCTGGGTTTTGCAAGCCATTAACTTGGCTGAAGATTAAAAGTGTTTACAATGTAGTCAAGTCTGCCAATCAACATGCTGCTCTGTGACTGTCCTTCACAGAATTGCACACTTCTCACCTAGATTTGCCATCTCCTGGGAAGCAAGGATTCCTTTTTCTCACCTGGAAGGTGTAGCTATCAGTGTAGCATCCACAGTGAGGGAATAAAGGCAAGCCAGAAATCATAGACCACTATATCATTTTAACAGACACACTACAGTGGTTCAGAGGCCAAGAACTGAACAGTTCTATTTCATTAAAGGAATCAAATATTCGCAAGTCACAACAGCTGTGGAGGAAATCGGCCAACACGTGGGTAAACACACAACTGGCACTGCGAGCTGTCCCAACACATCAGCCATAGTGCAGCTCCCTGCCTCCCTGCCTGGAGCCAGTGCCTCTAGGAGGCACCATGGAACTGCAGTGCAGGGCACCTACTGCAGTTAGAAAAGCAGCCACAACCATAAATCCTCTTTTCACATGTTGTTGTTCATCTGCTCTCTATGAGGAGATGATTTATTTCTGTGGTAGGGAGCTACTCAAAGGAAAGCCTCAAAACATCCTAACAAGGATAAGTGTGACATATGTGTTATGTCAGCCACTACCCATTAGAAGGACTATTTCCTAGAACTGACATAGATGCAAGTATTTTCTGTAAAACAGTCAAAGTGCTGACACCTTCTATGATACTACAGAGGTCATTGTGAACTAGAAAACACAACTTCTATTGATCTTTTTGTTTAGTCTAATTGTTCAGAACATTCTTCCTAAAACATGCCGTGTCAGGATACATCATGTTGTGTATGTGATATACATCCCACATGATATACATCCTCTACCTCAGTTTTCTGGGCCAAGCCTTTCTTCACACTCTAGATCCCTATGGATAATAATTCTCTCTCCACAGAGAGTGAGCAGTGCTCATTCTCTACAAATCAGCGTTCTGGTCAGGGGCAGAATGAGACCCCCTTTGCTTCAGATAGTATGGGTGGTAAAGTTCCATCTTTGTTCAGTTGAACTGATCTGGTACACAACTGGAGTAACACAGTGATGAGTCAAGCTCACTATGCTTGCCCGTGGAGTATTTTATTGTGTTCTTTTTGTCTGTGGTTCATGTACATAATCAAAAAGGTCACTCTACACTGAAAGCAGTTGTTTTGCCTTTGCTAATGGAAAAACAATTCCCCATCTCACAATCCATAACAATAAAAATAAGAACAACAAAACTCCACCCACATGAAAGAACCAGCCAGCAAGAAGATCCTATTGCACAATATCTCCCCATCTCATAGAAGCCATCCCATCCCAATTCTCCCTAGATATCTGTTCAAGAAGCTGGGCTATAAAGCATACACTGAAGGTGAACAGCTCCAAGACCTTTTGGTCCTTTGCTTGATCCAAGCAATTGTGACTCATTGTACTTATTTCATGACTGACTTTTGTTTAAGGTCAAAGTGACAATGAGGTTGTCATGCTTGGACAGTAAATGATACAAAGAAAACAGATGTTAACAGGTGTCTGCCTATTACTCCTAGTTGCCACTGGACATATATGTTTGCTGCATGTTATGGGACAGACAAAATTGGATTCTGAGCTAATTAATTTGCATTAAAATTCTTCATAATTGTTTTATTGGAACTCCACTTTTATTGTAACTTGTAGCAGTCAATAAAACTTTATAGCTTTTTGTACAAAGGTCAAATATGCCTAAAACATTTGATTTAATTGAAAAATAGAAATATCTCAACTAAAAAAAAAAATTCTCAGTAGCTTTTAACAGACATTTGGGTTTGATGGTTTTCTTCTGAATTTCCCTCTATTTTGCTTTCATTTTCAACCAGAAGTTAACCCACAATCTTTCAAAAGGTAAAACACATTACCTGGACAGAAGTAAGTTTTAAAAGTCCATTTTTATATCAATTTGGAAACAAAATTTCAGGATGTTTTTCCTTCTTCCCCCAAAATTTTTCATTTATGACACTAACACAATTGGCATACATCAGTAGCAGTGAAATCTTCAATCTCATCATTGAAACACTTCAAGGCTTTATGAAAACACTGTCAAAATCAGCACTACCTCCTGTGAAGGAAAGAGAGTCCAGGGTAAAGTCCAAACACAGCAGGCAGATTACTCTGTACCAGAAGTCTGATTCACTGCTTGGTCACACAGAATTCTGCAGCCCTCCATGGCATGTCTCCCCCTTTCCTCCATCAGGAAAAGTTTTGCAATGGCACAAATCAAGCTCCTGAAACCTTCATTGCAAATCAAAAACCGAGACAGCTCAAGGCATATAATTTGGGTTATGATTTGCAATATTCATTAAGAGAACAGCCAATTCAGGCAAAGAAAAAAATATCCTGAGCTAAAATAATGAATACAGAGTTTGTTACAGCAACAAGACTGATGGTCTCATCTGTAATGATCTAACAGTGGCTGCCTTTATATGGTACCTTGTTTTGATTTTCATATCAATAATTACATTATGTGCCTCAAAACATCTGACTGGCTGGCTGACTTGATTCATGTTAAAACCATCCTGTCTGTGGATATGCATTGGCATAGGACCTATTGCAGAGTCACATAACAGATTGCAAGAGAAGCAATGATTCTTCAAAATTTTGTGCTACACCCGGACCAGGGAGTGCTCACCATGCTCCCTTCTGCCCTTAGAAGTTATGACTTGAATACATGAACTGAGCGTCCCAATGCCAAATGAATCCAGTGGCACTAAAATTCCTCCTTGTGCTCTTCTCCAACAGCTTCCCCAAGGCACAAAGTGAGCACCAGAGCTAGTACACACTGCATGATGTCACCTTGTCACCTAATGAAAAGGGGAACGAGAATTTCGGCTGCACATTATCCTGACAATTCCCGGTTAGTATGGCCATGCTGGGTTATAACTCTCAAATAAATTGCACTTTCGTTTTGGCTGTAAATGTCCACACGGCTGCCCATTCACAGAGTTTTGCATTTACTACTTGTGTGGCCTTAAGCATCAGTGAGGTAGCCTTCAACTAGGTCAGCCAGTCTAAAACACTGCCATGGATTTGTCTGGCTTCTTCACTTCTTGCTATTAAACGGATTCAAACAGTTTGAAG